ATCTAAATATTGTTACTCTATTTAGTCTTCTAAATTTTGTTACTTCATTTAATTATCTAAAATAAATTTGTTACTTGTATAATATAATGTCTGCGTGGCATTTAGCGAACTTTGGCGATTTAAAATAAATATTAATAAAACTAAAATTAATCATACGATCTAAGCCCCCACCCCAAAATCCATTGAATAATTTCGTCAGTGCCTGGGCCCAAACATACAGCACCTTAAGCAAACTTTTCTGACGATTGGTGGACCGCACATTTTCTAGAGGCCACGCCCCAATCTCACACCCGGAAGTTGACGGTTGCCATCATGATTACGTCCCTTGTTAACCGCCATCTTGACACTTACGCAATCTTTTGTTATGATGTACTTTAAGCATAATAGCACACATTTTTTTCTAATGCAATATTTTTTTAAAATAGTTTTTCTTGAAACTTCTTGCGACTTTGCGAAGATAAATACATTAATTAGCAGGTGTGTGAAAAAAGTCAAAGGAAAAATCGTTACAGGAAAAAAGTCGCAAAATTTGTTTATACTTTTATCAATTCAATATTCAGAAAGTGCAAATCAATTTACTATTAATTAAATTGTATGTAATGTAAGTTGTAATATTTAAAACACGTAAAAATATATAGTTTATAGTGTGTAGGTTTCAATTCCGTTAAATATATAACATTAAATATAATTTATTAGAATGTTCCAACCTTCTCGGTTTTCATCCTGTTTTTAAATACTAACTTTTAATTTGCGTGAAATGGCATAAAGATGTAGTTAATGTGACTTGCTGTCCTCAACTCATCGCAACAATAGTTCAACCACCTGTACTACCCACATTTATCACGCTCATTACATAACCAAGCATAGGATCAAAACAGAAAGCCGACACGGTACAAAGGCTGTCATTGACGGAAAACGTAACCAAAAAACAAAATGTAGGGACAAGGCCAACTGAGGAGAGGCCGACCAAGGAATGGCCTACAGCAAAGAAAAACAAAAGATACGCAAAACGCAATAATGTGCCAAAATTTCTTTAATAATTAATTTTCCTTCCGCATATTTAACTAAATACGTAACAAAATTTGAGGTTGATGTGTAACTTATTATTGTTATAAACTATAATAAATAATAAGCTACCAAAAAAAAAAAAAAAAAAAAACACAACCCACATCAATAAACATCCAAAATTTTACTATTCTCAACAATTAAATAAGAGTATTTCTTTAAACATTTTTGTGACTTTTTTTTCTGTGACTTTATTTTTATCACCTTTTCCATAAAATTTTTCTTAGTGACTTTTTTCTGTTTTTTTTATCTCCTGTAACTTTTTTCCTTTCACCGGGGACAAAACAACATGATAGTTTACACATTATTAACAGAACGAAACTTATAGTGGCCCTCACTTCGTGTTGGTGGCCAACAAAATAAACCATCTTTTAGTAATCCCGGACTATTTTTAGTAATATATCTGTTATCAAAAACTGGCCATCATTAAATATTCCTGGCCATAAAAAACTGGCCATCACTTAGTGTTCCTGGCCATCACTTAGTGTTCCTGGCCATCAAAAACTGGCCATCACTTAGTATTCCTGGCCATCAAAAACTGGCCATCACTCAGAGTTCCTGGCCATCAAGCAAAAACTCGTCAATGTCTGCTACCGGAAGTGCATTATCCCGGCACGAAAAATCGATTTGACCCTTTATTGGGTGTTCTACAGTTTCCTTGAGGTTGTGAGCTGCCATATAAGCCAGACACACTGGCCATATAGACACACTGGCCGTCCAGTCTAGACACACTGGCCGTCCAGTCTAGACACACTGGCCGTCCAGTCTAGACACACTGGCCGTCCAGTCTAGACACACTGGCCGTCCAGTCTAGACACACTGGCCGTCCAGTCTAGACACACTGGCCGTCCAGTCTAGACACACTGGCCGTCCAGTCTAGACACACTGGCCGTCCAGTCTAGACACACTGGCCGTCCAGTCTAGACACACTGGCCGTCCAGTCTAGACACACTGGCCGTCCAGTCTAGACACACTGGCCGTCCAGTCTAGACACACTGGCCGTCCAGTCTAGACACACTGGCCGTCCAGTCTAGACACACTGGCCGTCCAGTCTAGACACACTGGCCGTCCAGTCTAGACACACACCCTCTCCCACCCTTCCCCAACCACACCTCCTCCTCCCACCCTTCCCTAACTACCCCCCCCCCCCACCCTTCCCCTACAACTCCCCCACCTCTAACGACACTACCACCTACTTCATCCAGCAAACGCCCTGAGGGCTGTTTTCTCAGAGGTCCGCCACTGACCCGGCTATTAAATTAATCCCAGTCCACTCATCCCCTGCCCTCAAACCCCGTTCTCTCCCCTATTACTGGCACATACCAACACTTTAACAGTGCCTATAGTGGTTTGTACTTTTCCATCATTTACTCACTAATCTCTCTTATCTATTCTCTCCCCTGGGGCTGGGTTTTTATTATCTCCCTTTGTTTTCGGACCGTCCATGGAAACTACCCCCTTCCAACCCCACCCCTTGGCTACTACAGTTTTATATTACGTGGCTCAATCCAAATCCACAGCAGATGGAATCAAAACAGTAACAGGATGCTCTCATCACGAAGATAATTCGTTAATTGCTCTAAATACGGTGAATATAGACGTGGAATATAATTAGCGGATGAGATTATTGCTGTCTATAATTGCTAGACTTTATTGATATCGATGATAGCCTTTATTGGTATCGATGATAGCCTTTTTTGGTATCGATGATAGCCTTTATTGATATCGATGATAGCCTTTATTGATATCGACTCTAGGAATATGTTGTACGCTATAATTACATTAAGGCACATTTTGGCATTTGGTAGGTCCACTACAATGCTATATTGGCATAGAAATGTAGAGATATCACAGAAAAATTAACCTGAAAGTTTTCTGTGTGTGTAGAGTTCAAAAGTTTGAAATGGGATAGTTTCTATCAGCAGAACGGATAAACATACGGTCTGCAACTTAAGCCTAACCCTAATCCAACCTGGATGTAACTCTAACGACACGAAACAGTAGCCTAACGTTGATATGAGTGGTGTAGTTTATCAGAGGCTGAGTGATATGAAATTCTATGTCAGCTGTTCTATGGTAGGTTGTTGACATTACAAGGTATCTAATATATCGCTAGAGGACAAATATCGTTGGCTCTCCTCCGATGGAAACCCCTTGACAAAAGACACTTACATTTTTAAATAGAAAAAAAGTTCATATATTTATAACTTGTCCTACGCAGAAAGGACAGCCTGTACGCAAGAAGGACAGCCTGTACGCAAGAAGGACAGCCTGTACGCAAGAAGGACAGCCTGTGTGACAACATACAAAAAAAAAAACAGTTGCCCCAGACCACAAAGGCGTGAAGTGCTCACTCCCCAGAAACTTCCAGACTTTTCTGGGTCTGGCAGCGAGAGGCTGAAGTGTCGGATGAGATTCCCCAGGCCGGGGTACCGTTAAGTGCCATATGAGACCCCCCCCCCCCCCCCCCGCCACCCCCGGGCCGGGGTACCTTTATTTCAGTAAGTCCTCACCAGCCCTCAAGTGGCTTACAGGCGGGCCACGAGTACTCGGGTCTTTTAGAAAAGGCTGGAAAATCCCCCCCCCCCCCCCACTTCCATTCTTTCTTCCAGCCAAGTCTGTATATCACAGTAAACATTCTGGAATATTCGCACACTTCACTTTGGGAGAATGAAATTTTCGGACAACTTCTCGTTAGCGGGTTTTGTATTTTTTTATCTTTCAATTTCTGGTCGTCTGGTCGTGTCTGGGGTGAGTGCACCGCCTGCTGACGTCACACAACAATACACGTCCCAATTAACAGGGACTCTATGTTGACGTGACCTTGAATGACGTCCTGTCTGTCCACCCAGTCTTTGTGCCAACACGTCACAACACTTATAAAAACGTTAATCCTTTGATCCGGCGGATAAAAAGTTCGTTAATAATGTTTACATCCGGCTTTAGATTTTTTAATGGAAACATTTTTTTTGTTTGTTTTGAGGATTAGTTTATTGAAGAAAATTTTGTGTCGCAAAATGTAAAGTTGAAAACCCAACATTTGTAATTAGTGTCTCTCCCTCCCCCCTCAACTTAACACCAGGTGTCTCTCCCTCCCCCTCAACTTAACACCAGGTGTCTCTCCCTCCCCCTCAACTTAACACATGTCTCTCCCTCCCCCTCAACTTAACACCAGGTGTCTCTCCCTCCCCCCTCAACTTAACACCAGGTGTCTCTCCCTCCCCCTCAACTTAACACCAGGTGTCTCTCCCTCCCCCCTCAACTTAACACCAACACTCACCACCCCACACAGCCCTACTTACCACCAACACTCACCACCCCACACAGCCCTACTTACCGCCACCACTCACCACCCCACACAGCCCTACTTACCACCAACACTCACCACCCCACACAGCCCTACTTACCGCCACCACTCACCAGCCCACACAGCCCTACTTACCACCAACACTCACCACCCCACACAGCCCTACTTACCGCCAACACTCACCACCCCACACAGCCCTACTTACCACCAACACTCACCAGCCCACACAGCCCTACTTATCACCACACACTCACCAGCCCACACAGCCCTACTTATCACCACACACTCACCAGCCCAAACAGCCCTACCTACCGCCAACACTCACCACCCCACACAGCCCTACATACCGCCAACACTCACCAGCCCACACAGCCCTACTTACCACCACACACTCACCAGCCCACACAGCCCTACTTACCGCCAACACTCACCAGCCCACACAGCCCTACTTACCGCCAACACTCACCAGCCCACACAGCCGTACTTACCGCCAACACTCACCAGCCCACACAGCCCTACTTACCGCCAACACTCACCAGCCCACACAGCCCTACTTACCGCCAACACTCACCAGCCCACACAGCCCTACTTACCGCCAACACTTACCAGCCCACACAGCCGTACTTACCGCCAAGACCTTCTTGTGTGCCTTCTTCCTAATCTGTGCCAGATAAAACTGCCGGACCGCCAGCAACAGCATCAGGACCCCTACAGCCAACAGGATGGGTCCTGTGATGGGGACGCTCTCCCCAAACACATCGTGCACTCCTGGGGAGGGAGAGACACACGGTGTTAAGTTTAGGGGGGGAGGGTGAGACATGGTGTTTAGTTGAGGGGAAGGGAGAGACATGGTGTTAAGTTGAGGGAGGTGTGGGCTTGACTTGTGTTCAATGTGTGGGTGGTACAGTCATGATTGAAATACACTGACCTTACCAAACACGGGCGCTACAATCTTGATTGATATAATGATTTAAGTGTCGTAAAAAATTTAACAGCTAAACTTATGATTCGGAGCCTACGAAATATCTAACTCTAAGTTAGCAATGTGCATGCTTAATATGGATTAGATTGTTGTTATTTCCTTAATTTCGTTATAATTCTTTCCAACTTTTACACCAAGCTGCTAGTATTCAAAAGACAAATTTTAGTCGCTAGAATAATACAAAAAATGTTAAAATGAGATTGAATCGTTTTAACGTTCACTATTTGGGGTAGCGTGGTCGGATGGCGGAGCGCTAACACGAACGTCTCGAGTTCGGATGTTGGAATCGTGTCTTCACGACGTCGGACACAGGACATACAGTGTTTCTTCCAGACTTTTTTCTCCTTGGGGGGGGGGGGGTAGACTTTTTTTGGGGGGACGGACACTTAAAAGTATATATTTTCTATATAAATTTCATTTCGTTCGGGGTGGGGGGGGGGGGCGGTAGACTTTTATCGGGGGGGGGGGGGGGGGGAAGAGATGTCTGGAAGAAACTCTGTGGGTATAGCGCTGACCACTTCATACTTCATATGGCGTGGTAAAAAAAAACCAGATCAACTTCACTTCCTCTGTCCTGTGAATCTTTCGATTTGAAAAGGGAACTTTTTATTTAAGACGCATGGACGAGAATCCAAACAGAAAACAATGCCAGTGAAATATTTAAAATTAATTGATATAATTCAAGAAGGAGAGGGGGAGGGGAGAGAGAAAGCGGTAAAAAAATAATTAGCTGAAATCATTTTTGATTTTTGAAAAAATTGCACGTTATTATTTTTGTATTTTCCAGCTATTAAATGAAAATATAATCTTTAATTTAAATTTAAATCAAATTATTTTTGAAAACAAAAATAAATTCTCGTTAGGAATGGATTTTGTTTTTTGTTTAATTACCAGCTGGCTCTATATGTAATTGATCAAGACGTGTCCTAATTAGCCGACAGTCTGATGCCACAGTGATGTCTCGTGTTACTTGTACGGTGCTGGTGACCATTTTGGACGGTGGACCGTGTTGGACGGTGGACCATTTTGGACGGTGGACCATTTTGGACGGTGGACCATTTTGGACGGTGGACCATTTTGGACGGTGGACCGTGTTGGACGGTGGACCATTTTGGACGGTGGACCATTTTGGACGGTGGACCATTTTGGACGGTGGACCATTTTGGACGGTGGACCATTTTGGACGGTGGACCATTTTGGACGGTGGACCATTTTGGACGGTGGACCATTTTGGACGGTGGACCATTTTGGACTGTGGATGTGTTTGCGGCCGTTTATGATGTGTTAGCCACCGTTTATGATGTGTTAGCCACCGTTTATGATGTGTTCGCGAGTGTGTGAGCTGTTCTCGTCGGTACACAAGGTAAAGCTGTGCTAATGCGGATATCTTAACATCTTGTATTGAAAGGGTTATCTTAACATCTTGTATTGAAGGGGATATCTTAACATCTTGTATTGAAAGGGTTATCTTAAACATAAATAATGGGATTATCTTAATATGATTACGTTTTAAAAACATGTTAGTAATAGATGGCTAAGTTAAAAACTGTCATAAGAAGATTTAAAAACATGCCTAATATAGAAACGGAAAGATAAAAAGTAAGCCCCATGACTTAGACATTAAACATGCAAGAAAAAAATGTTCAATAAAAAATATTCTAATTAAATCTAAATCATGCACGAAAATATAAAAAAAAACGTTGGTGCATTTTAAACATTTTATTTTGGTAACTGTTCTCATACCATCTTTAAGTTGGATTGTGCAACAAATTTAGGGGCACATATTAAATAACTCTGAACGTTTCCGAATTATCTAACATAGTTTCCAGGAAATGAGCTTATGAAAGACAATTTGATGTGTGTGTCCTAGTCTAAACCTCAATAACAACTGCAAAGGCGTGATCAGTACTCACTAACCTCTAAATTAGCACAATTTAGCCATTAGCCGAGCACCTGTTTAACTCATTTACTTTGGTTTGGTTTAAAGTGACCATACATTAATTATTCAAATCTTTCACTTCTTTGTTTTAATCAATGCCAAACCACGAGATGAAAAAGTGAACAGGTCGCTCGTTCAATGTCTTCACTTGAGATTTTCACATTTGTTGTAAGCCAAAATATTTATTGGACAAGTTTAAATTAAACTTGGCAAAAATATTTATCGGACGAGTTTTAAATTAAACTTGGCAAAAATATTTGTTGGACAAGTTTTAAATTAAACTTGGCAAAAATATTTGTTGGACAAGTTTTAAATTAAACTTGGCAAAAATATTTATCGGACACGTTTTAAATTAAACTTGACAAACATATTTATTGGACAAGTTTTAAATTAAACGTGGCAAAAATATTTGTTGGACAAGTTTTAAATTAAACTTGGCAAAAATATTTATCGGACACGTTTTAAATTAAACTTGACAAACATATTTATTGGACAAGTTTTAAATTAAACGTGGCAAAAATATTTATTGGACACGTTTTAAATTAAACTTGGCAAAAATATTTATTGGACAAGTTTTAAATTAAACTTGGCCAAAATATTTAGTTGGAGCACACGGGATTTGAACACGCGCTTCCAACAGACTGCAGTGCACTGATTACTAAATTACCTCTTGATATTTAATATCTAGTTTCCTGGGTGACAGAATAAGCAAGAGCGTAGCAAGACCTGCGCTAAAGTCAACTGTCATATATACTCACTCGCATATTCCAACAATAACATGCTCACAATAAGCCAGAAAATTAGAACATTACATTTGTTTTTACACGGTGGTACCGTAATTCAAATAGGTTTTCCAAATACGTCTACTGTAAATCTTGTATTTTATACAAATATTTACACAGTAGATCAAATTTTTTAAAACATTAGTATCAACATATTTTTTTTTCAGAAATTTTAGAGTAAATTTACTTTTTTACGATTATTTTACTGTAAATCAACATTAAAAAATTTCAGTATTTTTACTCTTTGTTTTCTCAAAATATAAAAGAAACGTATTTTCACCCATAATTTAGGGTAAATCAATTATATTATACAGACAAGCGCACTGTATATCACAGCTTTGTAAATCCAAAAAAATGTGCATGTGCCTACGATTACTGACGCTTTATTTAAACCACGGAACTTGCTTCACAGTGACCGAAATTGCACTCGGAATTCCTAACTGATCTGATTTGCATAGAGAGCCTCAGAGTAACAGAGATGCAAATTCTGAGATTCCAAGGAAAAAACAAACTATGCAACTGGAATCTTTCTGTACGGGGTTTTATATGTTGTGGGTGCAAAAATGAAATCAGACGACTATTAAAAAAAAAAAAACTATAAAAATCAGCGTTTATGTTCACTGAAAATATAACATATAGGAAACTATTTTTTATTGGTCTCATATTTTTCTATTAAATTTTTTTTTTTTGTAATTGACAACAACGAGAATAGTCTAGAACATTCCATTACATATTTACAAATCGTGTGCGGTGTTATTAAAATAAATGTGATTATAAAAACTTTTAGGCAGTTTCTTCCAGGAATCTCTCCGATGGATGGGGGGGGGGGGGGGGGGTGGCCGAAGCATTTGGAATGCGCATGTAAGTGATTTTTAAAATATTGTATTTCTGACACTTTTTTCAGGCTTTAGTTTATTTTTTTAGGCAAAATTAACAAATAGGCCTACACCATTTTCAAAATTCATGTCGTGGTTTTTAAAAAAAAATAGTACTTTTATTTTTCTCCAATCTGTTTGTTTTTAAATAACTCGTAACCGCACACGACTAAAATTAATTGATATAAGTCCCTATACGTGATTTGAAATAAATAAAAAGATCTTTACCTCCCTATTAAAGTCAGTGATCATCTCCCATGTGTGAAAATATTCGTGAACGCAACTCACCATAGAGTATAAACATTACAGTGATCGAATGTTCGCAAGTACAACTCGTTATTTCACATTTTGTTACAAAAAAAAATAATTTAATATCTCAGTTGATACAAAAGTGTGTGTTCTTACGGAGCATATCATTTCCCGTTCGTGCCCAAGACACATAGATCAGATGCTTCGTATCTGCTTCAGAGACCTCGGCATATGGATGGACCCAGGAACGTTCCACTTATATGAGCCCGAATTTGAACTCGAGACTCTCGAGTCTAGCTCTCTACCGCTAGGCTACGCCGTCCCTTATGGATAGTTTAGTTTGCCACCCCGTGCTCCCCTACCTCACCCCGCTACATCGTGGTGGCGCCACTGACTAAAGTCACCAGATCACAGTTTGTCGAGTCATTCTACACATGTTGACTTTAGGTGCCGTCTGCCCCTTGTTGCCGTCTGCCCCTTGTTGCCGTCTGCCCTTTGTTGCCGTCTGCCCTTTGTTGCCGTCTGCCCCTTGTTGCCGTCTGCCCCTTGTTGCCGTCTGCCCCTTGTTGCCGTCTGCCCCTTGTTGCCGTCTGCCCCTTGTTGCCGTCTGCCCTTTGTTGCCGTCTGCCCTTTGTTGCCGTCTGCCCCTTGTTGTTGTATGTCGCTTGTATCCGCCTGTCGTTTGTTGCCGCCTGCCGTTTATGTGTTGCCGTCTGCCGTTTATGTGTTTCCGTCTGCCGTTTGTGTGGTGCAGTCTGTCGCTTGTTGCCGTCTGCAGTTTTTTTCGTCCGTCTCTTGTTAATCATTAACCTAACGTCTCTAATCTCAGCATCTCAATTAAATTCAGCGCCCTGTTAATTAATTACCGAACCTTAATTGTTTTAAACACTTCAAATGAATCGATTGAGCTTTTGTTGACAAATAAACGGAAATACAAGAGCATAGTTAGGGACTGAGCGGGGGTGTGGGGGTGTAACAGGGGTTGTGACAGGGGGTTTACAGGGGGTTTACAGGGGGTTTACAGGGGGTGTGGCAGGGTGTTTGATAGGGGGTGTGACGGGCTGTGAAATGGGGTTGACAGGGGGTGTGACAGGGGTTGTCATGTCGCTATTTTACTTACGCTATGCCGATATTGGAAGATATAAAAATTACAACCTCCAAAACAATGAAAACATTAGCTCAAAGTTCTTTTTTTTTTGTTACTTTTTAAAAAAACTCGCGTCGCTAATGGGAATAAAGGCTGGCTCACAAAGAACAAATTAGAAGCCGTGGTTTTGAACTTGGTGCACAAATTATCTTCAAATTGCGTGCCTGCGCGTGCACCGTTAATGGATGCAATCTGTTCAATTAGGCGAACAAACAACTGGTAATTGACTTCTTTGATTGGGTGCTGTATGTAGATTATCAGTGGATCGTGACATGGTAGGGTTAAACCTAGAGGGTCGTGACATTGTAGGTTTAAACCCCCCGCCCCCCACCCCCGGAGAAAAAAGTCTGGAAGAAACCTGTTTACGAGGAGTGTAGAGGTTTAGTAGAGTTTTATAAAATATTATAAAAGACGTTTAGGAGAGGTTTTGTACGATATTTCAACAAGTTTGAAACAAGTTTAAAGAAAAGGTTGAGAGGATGTTAAGCCGAGTTTTTAAGAGGTTTGAACGTTATTTAATAAACTCTGTGTAGGCGTAATCTAAATCTAGCCTTGACGGTTGACAATTTTAGTTTTGACGTAGCACGACACGTGCACTAATGACGTTGTTGAAGACAACAGACATGACATTATTTTCAAGACGTCAGCCAAGCTATCATCCTAAACAGGAAGTAGACAGACGGACAACCTTTTATAAAACACAGACAGATAGATGTTCCTTATTCGAGTGTTTCCTAATGAGTTCTTATCAACTAAAGATGAATGTTTCCAAACCGGACAATCGATGTCCAAATTCAGTTTTTGTTTAAAAGATGATGTGAATGAAACATGAATATTTTACTGCATGTATAAAAACAGTTTGGTTTTACACCGGGTGAAGGGTGGGGGGGGGGGGTGGTCGGTAAATGGTAAATAAATATGGTGTAACTCAACTGTTTGTAGCTTAAAGTTATAGGGTGTAACTCAACTGTTTGGAGCTTAAAGTTACAGGTCGTGTTGACGAATGTCCTGTTATAGAGGTAGATCTAGAACAAAATGATAACAGCCATCACGACATAAACTTCAGCAGCCCTATAGTGTTGTGGTGTTTGAGAAACTGGAACACGGTCAGAAGAAAAACCAGCTCTTTACAGATTTCATGCACGACTTAATAGAATACAAGGAGAAAGGAAACACTTCAAAGCCAGATTTGTTTTAATGAGACCAATTATAGGAAAAAACATTGACCTATTTAGTTGAGCCATGTGGTCGAGTTATATTCAGATGATTTAAAAGAGCAGACCCCCCCCTCCCCCCGCCCTCCCCCGACTCAGCTTAAAAACAGACGTGACTGCAGGTAATTAAATCACAACCATCTTAACCCTGCAGGTTGACTGACAGGTGGGTTGGCTGGTAGTCGGGTTGTTGACGTTCGGGTTTTCCCGTTCTACTTATAGATCTGATCCTTGATGGTCATGTGACTACTGGGGCAGGCCTAAGGTTAACAGGTCAATTGGACAGCTGGTCAACAGGTCAATTGGACAGCTAGTCAACAGGTAAATTGGACAGCTGGTCAACAGGTCAATTGGACAGCTGGTCATCAGGTCAATTGGACAGCTGGTCAACAGGTCAATTGGACAGCTGGTCAACAGGTCAATTGGACAGCTGGTCATCAGGTCAATTGGACAGCTTGTCAACAGGTCAATTGGACAGCTTGTCAACAGGTCAATTGGACAGCTGGTCATCAGGTCAATTGGACAGCTGGTCATCAGGTCAATTGGACAGCTGGTCAACAGGTCAATTGGACAGCTGGTCAACAGGTCAATTGGACAGCTTGTCAACAGGTCAATTGGACAGCTTGTCAACAGGTCAATTGGACAGCTGGTCAACAGGTCAATTGGACAGCTGGTCATCAGGTCAATTGGACAGCTTGTCAACAGGTCAATTGGACAGCTGGTCATCAGGTCAATTGGACAGCTGGTCAACAGGTCAAATGGAATGAAACACCCGGCCGTTGAATGAAACACCCGGCTGTTGAATGAAACACCGGGCCGTTGAATGAAACACCCGGCCGTTGAATGAAACACCGGGCCGTTGAATGAAACACCCGGCTATTGAATGAAAGCACATGCAAAGATTGAATAAAACCTCATTTCAACATTGGATTAAAGCTGTCAAGCTCTACAAAAGAAAAAGATTTGATGTTTGTCTTGAATGCTGGCCGTTGACAGCTTAAAAACAAATCAACTTAACATGCAATCAACTTAACATGCAATCAATAATTGAAATATTTCCGCTCATTTGGTGGCCAGTCATCGACACGCCCACAATAAACCACCTTCCACCCTCCCACGCCCATTCTCCTACTCCCCTTCCCCCCACAACCACCCTTTGACACCCACCCTCATCAAACGTATATTTTTTAATTGAAACACAACACACACAGTATCGATTCCTATCCGTTTTAAATAACAGATTCAGATTGATTACACAGCGGCTCATTAATTATATTTTGTGGGTGGCCTTGAAAGTTTCTGACGATAATTGTTTTGTTTACCTTGTACTGACTGCGTGTGTGGTAGTACTAAATTTAACATTGTATCCCATGGCTAAAGTTAACATTTTATCCCATTGCTAAAGTTAAAATTGTATCCCATTGCTAAAGTTAACATTGTATCCCATTGCTAAAGTTAACATTGTATCCCATTGCTAAAGTTAACATTGTATCCCATTGCTAAATTTAACATTGTATCCCATTGCTAAAGTTAACATTGTATCCCATTGCTAAAGTTAACATTGTATCCCATGGCTAAATTTAACATTGTATCCCATGGCTAAATTTAACATTGTATTCCATTGCTAAATTTAACATTGTATCCCATTGCTAAATTTAGCATTGTATCCCAATACTAATGTTAACATTCGTATCGTATTGTGTAGTGTTTAATTCAGTCATTAAGGAGATAATTGTTTTTTAAATTATCAATTCTAGTACAAACAGACCTATTTACATAACTGTCAGGTAGTTGTTAGTTCGGCAGACTACCGCCTAACATAACTGCTACTGTTTTATTTATTTTTCTGAATTATCTCCACTTATTTTTCTCTGGGTTAGCATCCCCTTAAATTTCCTACTTAATAGCTTACATTAAATATAGCGACAGAAGTTCAAATGGAGAAAATGAACGTATCTGCAACTTAGCCTTCAACCGTTCAAAATAAAACGAAAAAAATAATTACGCATTAACTTTAAGTAGAATGCAGAAAGATTTTTGTAAAGTAAGTTTTTAAATATTTATTTCTAATTTTATTTTCCCCCAGTTTTCCCGCTGCGTTTATTGTTGTCAATAAATTCTCTTCCGGTACCGACTTCATTCTGAAAGAGAGAAAACTCTTCCACGATTTAACGAAACGGGGAAGGGGAAATAACTTAGAGTTCCGCTCCCATTCACCAGCAGCCCGTATGTGTACGTTAAGATAAGGGCATTAACTCCGCGTGAATGGATACAATAATGGAGTGTTTCTCCTGATACGACTTAATTCACCTCATAAAGCCAAACCATAAAGTGGTTGTGTGGATTTGTGGGGATACTTGGTCCAAACTAAGCTCACACTTTGGTCAAAATGTGGGCCATTCAATCAATGCTAACATTACCACTTGGATTTTAAAAGATGAGTTATATAATAGTAGCCTAATCCAGATTTCAAATTTCAAAAAGTGGATTCATAATTCTAGCAAAACCAGTTTTTGATTTCAAAAAGTGAGTTAAAAAGGTGGGTTTCAAAAGAAGTTTAGGTCGTCCAATGTAAATTTAAAAATTCTGTTTCGATTTTTAAATGGGGCCAAAGGTGGGTTACAGAAGTTAAACTTAATATTTGGATTTTAATTCGTTTAAAATGGTGGGTATTTTATTATAATAGTTAATCCCACCTGATTGGTTTCTGATTGGTAAACTAAGCAAAACCCACCTTTTGAATGCGTGTGCAGTGAACACGTGTGTAAGTAAATAAAGAACTAAAAATAGAAACATGCAGACGAGCACGCATGGGGCTCACTTTTACGTGTACCTAGCCAGGTGAGGATGACGCCGATGACGAAGAGGATGCAGCTGACGGTGATGAAGAGGATGCCACAGCGCAGGGGCGCCTTCCAGTCGGGGTGGTTGAGAAAGTTGGGGTAGTGCCGGCTGATACCGCTGGCCCGCCCCCGGGTGTTGACGCATTTGTGCCCGCCCGCGTGGAACATGACGTCAGTGGTGCGGGGTCGCCGCCGTAGGCTGATGTAGGTGGAGTAGAGTTGACGATGAGACGACAGGGGGATAGTTTAGATGCTGCTGTCGGTTTAACATCCTCGATCTGAAATTGAAAGTACAAAAAAAAGTTGATTACTAGAGGTTAAAGATTTTAGAAATAACATGTAATTCCTCTATCACGGCCTGGTCGAGCGGGAGAGTGCTTTGCAAATTGTACTAAGCTGTACAAAGGCTATAAAAGTAAATCCAGAAATAAAGGCTTGCTGAAGTTGAACTCAATGGGTCATATGGTGCTTAACGTAACAACGCGTAATACTTAAATACGTTGAAGGAAATCACATTTTATATTACAACGAAGAAGAGCCAAAAACTTTGACATTTAAAAAAAAAAAACTTAAGTCAATGATATCTGAACTGCTTTTTATTAGTTTTGTTGTGACTAAGTATGAGACAGAGTTGCAGACAGACACTATGACAGACCGACATACAAATGTTAAGTGAAGCTTAAGCCGACAAAACAAAATCTACCTTATTAAACAAAAATCTCGCTTGATTGCATTTACCCCACACTAGAACAATTCAATTATTTTTACCGGCAAGAAATCTCTAGTCAGCCAAGATAAAGACGGAAGCTAATATTTTAGAGTCAGCGTCACCAAGTCACGACGCTGCTATATAGACGAGAATTTGTTTTGATATTCGCATTTATCTGACAACTAACGAGAAAAACTGTTTGAATATTCAGACAAGTGGGGGCATTGTTTTCTTTTGTAATGAGCAGCAAACCAAACGTCTTCAAATCACACAGCAACTTATATATGTAGGCTGGGTGTCAGCTTGACCTAGCTACCCGACATCAGCACATTTTTGTAATATAGGATTCAAAGTGATTGTACTGGGTAAATGTAAATAAAAGAACATACATACATACATACATAACTACATGATTATGTTGTGATGCGAATTGATGTGACGATAATGAAGATGGTAATGTTTTAGATTCTATTTATATCGACAGACAACCCTTTAATGAGCCTCTGTAATCTAAGCATTGATTATTTCTTCAGACGACCAAACCGTTATCTGGCTTGAATTATTCAGCAGACAAACGATCACGTGACCACTCGCCCGAGTGTTAGTACACGTCACATCATCATCAGTGCCGAAAAGTATGCAAGGTCGTTGACCTGCTACGTGTAGGGGATGCCATCCTGTTACTAAAGTGGCGGGGGCGCCTTCCTACGACTAGGGGGGGGGGCGCCACCTACCACTCGTGGGGGGTACCATCCTACCACTTGTGGAGGGGCGCCACCTACTACTTGTGGAGGGGCGCCACCTACTACTTGTGGAGGGGCGCCACCTACTACTTGTGGAGGGGCGCCACCTACCACTAGTAAGGGTACCATCCTACTACTTGTGTGTGGGGGGGGGGGCGCCTTCCTACCACTAGTGGGGGGTACCATCCTACTACTTGTGGGGGGGGGCGCCTTCCTACCACTAGTGGAGGGACGCCACCTCAGAGGCGTAGCCAGGGGAGGGCGGGTGGGGCGCCAAAAAAGGGTAGAGAAATTAATTTGACAGCTCATTTTAAGCTGAAGTTTCGAATTATACACTGCCAAAGCTACGAAAAATAAACGACTACAAAGTACAAAGCTTCACACACTGATTTAACAACTTTGTGACACAGAAATAGAAATTGTTTCAGGATAGTAACTGGTAAGAAGCGCCGCAAAACTTCCCAACTGCGTGGGGGGGGGGGGGGGAGAGGAATAACTATATATAGAAATAGGGGGGGGGGCTCAAAATTGATAGTCCGCCCCGGGCGCTGGATTAGGTCGCTACGCCTCTGCGCCACCTACCACTAGTGGGGGGCGCCACCTACCACCAGAGCGACACCATATCACTACTACCACCACAGCGTCAGTCCCCTGACAGTGACTGTGCATCAAATATTTACACTGCTCAATCCCCAGGACACGGCTGGCCAGTAATGGACTGATGCTGTGACCTCGACCTACATAGGAAAACTGAGGGGAAAAATAAGTACATGGGCGCCCGATCTAAACACTGAGTATCTCAGTACAGACCTATATTCGATTTATACACAGCAACCCATCCCGAGTTAACACCAATGGCATCAAAGCATTTAGTATAATGATCAATCTTAAGGCTAAATAGATGTACACACCTTGAACAACCCCCATACAAACCAAATTGCAAAGTCTGTCCATGTACAAAGTCTGTCCAACGTATGTGGTTTAGTAACAAAACTGTATGTATCCCGAGACTCGACCGTTAAATAGTAGAGATGTAAGTGCAAGTGTGTTGGGTACTCGATACCCACATGTTTATACTCAGGCGAGGCGAAAACAACATGACATCATGCGGTCTGTCACAACAACACACAACACAACAACACACAACAACACAACAACACACAACACACGACTAGCATGCACAGTGGTTACTGGCACAAGGGGTGTGTCACAACAACACACGACACAACAACACACAACACAACAACACACAACACACGACTAGCATGCACAGTGGTTACTGGCACAAGGGGTGTGTCACAACAACACACGACACAACAACACACAACACAACAACACACAACACACGACTAGCATGCACAGTGGTTACTGGCACAAGGGGTGTGTCACAACAACACACGACACAACAACACACAACACAACAACACACAACACACGACTAGCATGCACAGTGGTTACTGGCACAAGGGGTGTGTCACAACAACACACGACACAACAACACACAACACAACAACACACAACACACGACTAGCATGCACAGTGGTTACTGGCACAAGGGGTGTGTCACAACAACACACGACACAACAACACACAACACAACAACACACAACACACGACTAGCATGCACAGTGGTTACTGGCACAAGGGGTGTGTCACAACAACACACAACACAACAACACAACACAACAACACACAACACAACAACACACAACACAACACACCAACACAACACACCAACACACGACACACAACTCACAACAACACACAACACAACACACAACTAGCGTGCACATTGGTTACTGCACAAGGGGTGTGTCAAAACAAATGGGGGCGGGGTTGGGTGGAGATAGCTGGGTATTTTAGACTGCTAGCGGTCATGTCAGGGTTTATTGAAGGCGAGAAATGACGAGGAGGGGATGTGGGACAACGACGACCATTATGGAAGATGATATACACCTCACCCTTATGACTATTGGTGTTGTGTTACATTGGTGTAGGGTGTTCTCGAGATAATTGCACGTGCGACATTGGCTGGGCGTGTTTCACGTGTAATTAAATATTTGTTTAAGTCTGGTGTAAGTTTCCTTAATTGCATGTTATGGTAAGTTTTGTTAATTAAATGCTATCGTATGTTTCGTTAATTACATGCTATTGTATGTCACACTTGTTGTGTTATTGTCTAAGCGATTCTTTGTTGGATCAATAACTACTGTATATAGATATCTTACAGCTGGTGCTAAGTGCTGGGGGGGGGAGAGATGAGAGGTAGGGTGAGTTCACACAGCTGTTCACATTTTGAAGTGTGTTGCTGTAGTGGTGAAGAAAAGAATTCTCAATGGACACCAACTTTTTAAACAAGAGCCTTGAACTAGGTAGTTGTCAAACCCCTTTCAACACGTGCAGCAAATAATTCTTTAAAATTATGTTGGTAATATCCTTTTCTATACAGCACAATTATTTAAAACAACATTTTAAATTTCCGTATTCAAACCTGAGAAATGCTTCAAGGAAAAAATAACCTCCCCCCCCCCCCTTCTCTCAAGTTATAAAAAAACAATTTTGATCTTCTTACCTTCTTTAATATGGACTACTCCCCTTTTTTCAGCAATTTTTTGTTCTTGTTAAGAAATTTTTTTGTTGCTGAATTTATTGACCGTGATGTGGCAGTTGCAGTTATCCCACTCTATCAACCAGAGTCATGTCCCCTTACCTTCACCCACTGTAATTATTTCCCCTACCTCTCCAGGAAATGACAGCCACTTCCAGAAAAGTCTCGACCCTAACAAGCGGTGGTTGTGTGAGTAGATCCGCGCGTCAGGCACTAGTCCCGGGGGTGGGATGTGGAGGGGGGGGGGTCACTGATCAATGCACCGCTCTAAAACCACTAGCAGATCGACCCCATCCTAAACGATCAACTCTTGAACTTTGGACGTAGTTAGCTACAACAGTACAATATCATGACGTCACTTGACGGATGTGAGCAATAAAATGGCAGCTGTTTGAAGTTTGTTAGCTTTAGGGGGTGGGAGTGGTCGGGTGGGTAAGCACACATGGTTGCTAACCCGAAAGTCCCTAGTTCAATGAGGCAGATGGGGCTGCTAGTCAGCTGGGGACAGCAACCCATCTAGGGGAGAAAACTCGAAAACAAACATGAGTAGAGTCAGGCGATGGATTACTTTCGGCTGCTCCTGAGACTCTGCTGATTCCAAGCTGTACAGGTGACGCCCTGTCCCTTGGGTCAAGCAGCTGTGTGGAGCAACATGGCCACCATCTAGCTCACCGTAGGGCCCACGAATGGACGTCCAATACACAATCATCCAATGGTCTATTAGACAATGGAGCCGTGTTAGGGTTAAGGCCATGGTTTAGTGTAGATGAGTGCTGATGTTAGTGACACTTTTTAAATGTTAGGGTTGATGTTTAGGTAATAGAGTGGGCAAGACATACAGCAGTGGTGATGGGCAGGGAGCGACAGTGGTGGCCTGATGGGAAGGAGAGACGGCAAGTCTGGGGGTGGGGCCTGAGGGTGGACCTCGCGTTGTCTTGCTCCAGACAAATTGCTGAATAAAATCACATGGACGTAAACAAGGGAAACAATTTACGCGGGTGGTGAATGACAGGAACTACACAGGGAGATAACTGGTCATACAGTCTATCAGGGTTTTTATGTTGTCTGTCTATGTAGCTATACTGTCTGCTTTTGTGGGTATTTGGAAGTCTGTTTTGCTGTCTGTAAGATTGTCTAGCTGTGTGGCTGTGTGACTGTGAGACTGTGTGACTGTGGGACTGTGTGGCTGTGAGACTGTGCGGCTGTGAGACTGTGTGG